GAAATGAACTCAGATTCTCTGCAAGAGCAATACACAGTCTAACCACTGAGCCATCTTTCCAGCCCCACATTCAGGAATTCTTCCTTTTAAAGTCCCATTCTTATTTTTTAACTAAATTAGTAACAACAGCATTCCAGGAAGGAGCTATTGGGGTAAAAAGTACTGCCGATTTGGCTCTTGGCCCTATAGCTCTGAATTAACCAGCACCTCGGAAAACACCCAAGCACCCCACAGACTGAGAATGAGAGGAACTGTTTAGTGCTGGAGAAGTTCATTTTGGTTTGGGCTCAGCTGGTCCTGAGCAGCTGTGTTGCACAGTGCAGGTCTGCTGGTGCCTCTACGTCCTCTGCTTCTGCTGCGGTGCCCGCTAAGCATCATCATTTGTTGCCTTCCGTCTTCCCCATGCTTTATCTCTGTTACCAGAAGTTCATGACCCTGATCAGTTCACACTACCCATTCCCCGTATCAATCCATGCCCAGTCCCCAGGCCCCACAGGTTCAAGGCCATCTCTCTCTCTCTCTTCAGCCCAGCTTACCCTGCCCTGGTTCACACTCATATTTTACCGTCTCCTCCTACCTAGTCTTTTTGAGTTTGCCTGACCGTTCCCAACTAATCCTTTTTCGGTATGTCAAGTTCCTAGTCAAGCCTCAGGCTGAGGTCTGTCCTGGAGTGTCCCTTCCATTCCTCCCTCTGCATTACACTTCCTCCATTTGTCACACATCTGGTCCAACACGCGTGGTTCCATTTTGTCTACACTTTCATCTCTTCTAGATCGGGAGGGCTTAGCCCCCAGAGCCTGGCGATTCATTTTTCTCCAATGAGGATGTGTTAAATGAGAGTGACTGAATCTCTTCCAGCCCAGAGCTTTCTAGAATCAAAAAGGCAGGAGAGAAACAATCGAAGTGCAGACCCTGGGATGCTGTACCCTGCACGTCATAAGGAGACGAGCTTCCTCCTCCCCACCACAGCCTTCATGATCACACTCCATTGCTCTACCTCCTTGCGGGGTCATGGGAGGAAAGGCCATCTCTCCCCAGAGAAGAACCACTGGCAAACTTGTGGGTGCCATCTCCTTTGGCGAGAGATAGTATGGTCAAAATAGAAGGAGCATAGCCTCCGACATCCAGAAATCCTCGTTTCAAGTTCTGGCCAGGCTACTGCCTACCCTAAGTGTAGGCCAGGCTGTGGGTCTCTTCAAACCATTGACTCTGGAAAAAGCAGAGAAAGGCAGGAAAGAAATGGAGATTGAGGTCTTGGGATATGGCTCTCAGTAAAGTGCTTGCTGTACAAGCATGGGTCCTGAGCTAGTCTCAGAATTCACATAAAGAAGCTGGTCACAGTGGCATAAGTCTGCAATCCTAGTGCTAGAGAAAAACAGGAAGGTGACTCCTCAGGGCTCGCTGGCCAGCCAGACTAGCTAATCAGTGAGCTCCAGGCCAGAGACCCTGCCTCAACAAACAAAGTGTCAGAAGGGCACCCGAGGCTGACCTCTGGCCTCCATACATACACATATGCACCTGCACACACACACAAGCTTATAAACACACATGCACACACACACACACGCGCACGCACACACACACACACACATCCCAAAAGGGGGGAGAGAAGACAAGGAGATGCACCTGCACACACACACAAGCTTATAAACACACATGCACACACACACACACACACACACACACACATCCCAAAAGGGGGGAGAGAAGACAAGGAGACGTGAGATTCATCATTAGGACTCTGAACCGGTCTCTTTGGTGTTTTTCCAGGGGCCTGGGGGCACATGGCATTCCTTTCTCACTCTCTGGGTGTTGGCCAGAGGCACCTGAGCCAAGCTTTTCTGAATATATGGTCCCTCTGTGGGCCCATGACTCATACAGTTTTCCAATTATATGTAGCTCACGTGCCAAGCCCCTCCTGTCTAACATACACACACACCATGCCCCCCACACCACACATCACACACCCCTCCACATACCACACACATATCACACCCACTACACACACCCTTCTATGCAACCACCACACCACATATACACACATACTACATAACCCCTACCTATACACACACAACACACATACACCACGCACACATCAAACACACCTGCAAGCAGCATGCTTCCCCCATGGGGCCTGCATGGAGTGGGCCTTGGTTGGTGTTAACAAGGTTTCTTTGGTAGCCTGGCGTAGAGGAAGTGGACGAATGTCTTCCCACGGATGAGCTGAGCCGGCCTCAATGGGCAGTTTAGAATGGACTTGACACTGAATTGTGTTCTCTGCCCACAGGGCGACAGTGGGGGACCACTCGTCTGCAACATAAAGCCTGGCAGCAAGTGGTACCAGGTGGGCATCATCAGTTGGGGAAGGGGATGTGGACAGAAAGGCTTCCCAGGAATATATACCTTGTTGGAGAACTATACCCTGTGGATTGAAAAAGTGGCCGAGGTGGAGGGAAAGCCCTTGAACACTAGGGCAATAAGGGCACCTGTCAAGAAGAAACTCGGTGAACGAACCCAGGCCTCCAAATGCCCAGCACTGGGCAGCCCCCAAGACTGGCTCCTTCCCTGTCTTCTGTCTTGTACACTGCTCAGAGCCTTGTCCAACTGAAAATAAAATGATGTAAGTCTCCAACACCTGGCAGGCGTTTTGTGTGTGTGCCGGGGCTGGTTGCTGATCTAAGCCAATGGCTAGGAGCTGGGGTTGGGGACAGAAAGGACCCACAAAGGCAGGCTGGCATCCTGGTTCAGGGACTAGGCAGCGCCACCTCGAATGCAGACATGGCAGACAAAATCTCCTGTTGGCTGCCAGCTCTTGGTCACTTGGTTCCTAAGAAGCAGGTGCCAGAAAATTTCTTTTTTGATGTAAATCAAGATTTTATAAAAGTAGTGCGGTATGCAATGTACATATTTACAAAGAGAGGCAGGCAACATGCAATTATTAATTTTTAAAAATATTTTATTGTTTTTGTGCATTTCATACAATAGTTCTTAACCAAATTTAGAACCATGCTGCCACATACCACCCCCCCCCACACCGAACCTCATGCATTCTGTCATATATGTTAAGTCCTATCCGGTCAAGCATTTGTACCCAGCTGTCCTTCGGTACAAGTTTCTCCACTGGAGTCTAGTCAGCCTATCTAGAGATCTTAAGATATACTCTCCCTCACCCAGCAGTAATAGGTTGCTACAAATTCCCAGGCTAGGGATGGCCTTCTACCCATTTCCCCCACTCCACGCTGGGCCCTGTCTGATTGAGTCAGCCTGGGTCTTGTACATGATGCCATCAATCCTGCAGGTTCACATGAGCAAGCTTCCAGTGGCCTGTGGTAGAAAAGCAAGGCAATTTCTTGAGGGAGGAGCTTTCTCTAGCAAGTCGCTTGTTTAAAATACAGTCGTAAGAACTTCTGTTCCTCCGGTGTGAAGCCCCTTCCTACCCACCACCCATGGAGGTAGCAGAGCAGACAACTCCTATGGCCCATTGTGCAGGTAGGAAAACTAAGGCTCAGAGTGATAGAAATCACCAGTAAATGGTGGACCCAGAGTTAGTGGGGCCAGACACGTGGAGCACCCTAGAGGCCCACTCAGTGAACTAAGTTCTACCCTTCACATTTACATGTTCCGGACTTTTGGTTTGGTCTCCTTCAGTGATACGTTCGAGTGGCTCTGGTCAGGTGCCACTCTGATCATGGCTGACCTTTGCATAATATTCCTATATTCCAGATTGCTTTTTAAATTTTAATTTTGGAGGTTTTCTTTTACGTTTGTTTATTAATGGGGGAGGAGTGATACTGTGTGCACATGCGGAGGTCAGAGGACAACTTGCGGGACTTGGTTCTTTCCTCCCACCATGTGGGTCCCAGGGATTGAACTGAGGTCATCAGATTTGGTGGAAAACACCCTTACCCTCTGAACCATTTCTCTGGCTGATTTTGTTTTGTTGAAATGAGGCCTTGCCCTGTAGCCCACACTGCCTTCGAATTTGAGATCTTCCTGCCTCAGTCTCTGAGAATTGGGATTACAGGTTTGTAGCACCATGCCCAGTTCTTAGAAACACTTTAAATGTAGTGTGATCCCTGTGACTCCTCAGAGTGACCCTGTGAAAATACTATCAAGCTTGTTTATGGATTAAGGAATCCAAGTCACAAAGAGGTAGAGTTGGCAGTTTGCCCAGGGTCACACGGCTCCTGGTCACAGGACTGACTGGTTCTGGAAGAAGTGATCATCAGCACTGGCCACAATAGGTTTGGACTCAGTCCAAAGCAAGGACACTAGCCTGTGGGTCTGATGTCCAGATCTGGGGGCTCAGTTTGACCCTCTCCCATGGGATACTTACACTCGTTCAAACTACATCCACCTTGGTGAAAGGAATCCACAGAGACACCCAAGGGCCCTCCATGGAGGCATAGGGTGTCAGGTACACAGCACACAGAAGCAGTATCCATTAGGTGGAAAACCTTTCCTGCATCCTTGGAGGGCAATGGGTTGGAGGTGAGGACCCTCACTGGGGACAAGAAAGTCATCCATCAGTACACTCAGTGGGTGTTAAGTAGCTATGCTGGCCTCAGGTATGGGCTATAAGCAAGGAAGGCTTCGGGACTGTCTCTCTGGACAGAAGATGTTCTTTGTAGAAGGAAAGGCCAGCACCAAGCAGCTGGTAAAAGCCAGATGACACATCCACTGATGGGAAGCCCAGTGTTCTGCATCAGCTGTCACTGGGTCTAGGATAAGAAGAGACAAAGTTGAGACTTGTAGTTAGACAAGCTCCCAAGTCAGGACCCACCATGGTTCACGGTGCACTTTGAGTATCGGGCGTCCTATGTGGTTAGGCTATTCTTCTGACCCTCAGGGGTGACTGGTTTCAGTGTATCACTTTGCAGTCAGCAATCATCTCCAGAGAGTAGCTGACATGGGGACTGCTCACTAGGTCTGTATTGGGAATCAGGGTGCTGGATGGACAGCAAACTTGGGAACATGGGAGGATGAGGCGATCTGCATAAGGAAGGGCAGCCACATGTCAGCAGGGCCTAGGCAGGGTTGCAGGGCGCCCTGCTGCCAGATGAGCAGATGTGGGAAGGCAGAGTCCAGGTGCTATGGCCCAGCACAGGGAGTGTGGCATTCAGGACCAGCTGAGGCTACAGGGAGACCCTGTCTCAAAAAAAAAAAAAAAAAACAAAAACAAAAACACCCCCAAGCTGTGGATTTCTGGTGGGTATCTAAGAGCAAAGGCAATGGGCAATATTGTTTGAAGGTCTATGGGACCCCTGGTCAGCAGCTCAGGTCTGATAAGGGCAATGTCCCCCTGTTATAAGGTAACTCCTTTTAATCTCCTTTTATAATGCATATGTATATACTTTAAGAAGCTTCTATAGTGATAGGCTTCCACATGTTTTTTTCTAAAGGTCTTTAGTGTTGGTTAGCCTCCCCATCCTCCCTCTTCTGCCCTGCCCTCCCATTCCCCACCCCACTAAACCCTTCCTATCCTATTGTTCCCCTTTCCTGCTTTGTATCACTGCATTTTACCACCCCCTCCAGGAAGCCTCCCACCCCACTCTATTGCCACTTATTAGTTTCTTGACTTCTCAGGATTTTCAAATTGGGACACGCATACCTAGGATCTCAAAGCTCATGTCCAGCTCTGAGAGAGAACATGTGTGTGTCCTTCTGGGTCTGGAGGACCTCACTCAGGATGATTGTTTCCCGTTCCATCCATTTACTGGTGAATTTCACAATTTCATTTTTTAAAAGAGCCAGCTGAATAATATTCCATTGTGTAGATATACCACACCTTCATAATCCTTCATCAGTTGATGGACATCTAAGTTGTTTCCAACTTCTGGCTATTACGGAAAGGGCAGCAATGAACATGGACGAACAGGTATTTCTGTACTAGGTACAGAGTCTTTTGGGTCCGTGTCCAAGCGTGGTGTGGCTGGATCATACGGTAGATGAAAGTGCAGCTTTTGGAGGACCCTCCTCACTGATTTCCACAGTGACTGCAGCAGGAGTGGATAAGAGTTCCCCTTTCCCCGTATCCTTGCCAGCATCTGTCATTGTTCGGATCTTAGTCATTCCATGTGGGATAAAAGGAAATCTCAAACTGGTTTGATTTGCATTTCCCTGATGACTAAAGATGTTAAAAATTTTTTAAGTATTTCTCAGATATTTGTATTTGTTTAGAGGACTCCTTGTTCAGCTCCTTGCCCCAATTTTTAAAAACTATTTTATTTGTTATTTGTATTTTATATGTATGAGTGTATTGTCTGCATGTCTGTAAGGGTACCCATGTCATTCAAAGCCTGTGGAGGTCAGAAGAGGACGTCAGATCCCCTGGAATTGGAGTTACAGACTGCTGTTAGCCACCATGTGGGTGCTGGGAATCAAACCCGGGTCTTCTGCAAGAGCAGCCAGTGCTCTTAATCACTGAGTCCTCTCTCTAGCACCACCTTGGCCCCAGTTTTTAATTAGGTTGCTTGTTGATGTTTAGTTTTTTTAGTTCTTTTCACATTCTAGATACTAACCCTCTGTCGCAGGTATAGCTGGTAAAGATTTTTTCCCGTTCTTTAGGCTACCTCTTCACTCGAATGATGGTGTCCTTTGCTGCATAGAAGCTTTTTAGTTTCAATTCTTGAACCTAATGCTTATACCATGGGAGTCCTTTTCAGAGAGGCCTTTCCTATGCCTGTAAGTTCTAATGTGTTCCCACTTTTTCCTCTATCTGATTCAGGGTATCAGGTCTTATGTCAAGGCTCTTGATCCATTTGGAGTTGAGTTTTGTGTGTGGTGAGAGATCGAGACCCAGTTTCATTCCTCTACGTGTTCTTATCCAGTTTGATTAGCACCATTTATTGAACATGCTGACTTCTCCTGTGTGTACGTTTTGCTCCTTTATCCAAAATCAGGTGGCCATGCTGCTTTTATTACTGTAGCTCTGTAGCACATTTGAAAACACTACATACATGAGTTTTGGAAAAAGCAAGGAGAACTCAAGCTAGTGCTGACTTCAAAGCCTCATCTCTAACTGGCTGGTTTCACAGTGCTGGAAGGTACTATGCATGCTACCTGAAGAGAAAAATAATCATCAGCCTTATCTAGCTGTGAAGCCTGTAAGCTACAACAACTAGCCTGGCATGATATGCTCACCAGCGCTATAGTGGCATGAATATAGTTGGAGTAACCAACCACTTTCTAATTGTATTTAAGGTCTGCTTTATAGAATGGAGCCTATACCTAACACTGATATCAGGCCTGGGAACCTGAGGCTAGACAGGTCACAGAGCATAGGACAGAGCCCAATTCTAGCTTTCTGCTAAATAGATACAGTATTAAACTGACTCTTAATGCCTTATTATGCCCATCAATTAATGTACCACTCACCTCTCACAAGAGAAGCTTCCTTATGCAGCAGATGATGATTAGCACAGAAACCCACAACTGACCAACATGCAGCGAACAAGAGGCTGCAGAGTGCTTACCCCTGAACAGGACAACTATATCGAACCTGCCTCCCAAGGTTCAGGGATCATTGTGAAAGAGTGGGGTCGAAAGACTGTAAGAGCCAGAGGTGGTGGATGACCACAAGGAAACAGAATTTTCCAGAGAGGTGGT